CATCCTGGGCTGCATCAAAAGAAGCGTTGCCAGCAGGTCCAGAGAGGTGATTCTTTACTTTACTTTACTCTGCTCTGGTGAGGCCTCACCTGGAGTATTGTGTGCAGGTCTGGAGCCCTCAATATAAGAAGGACATGGACCTGATGGAGAGGGTCCAGAGGAGGGCCACAAGGATGATCAGGGGGATGGAGCACCTCTGCTACGAGGACAGGCTGAGGGAGCTGGGGTTGTTCAGCCTGGAGAAGAGGAGGCTCCGGGGAGACCTAATAGCAGAATCCAGTACCTGAAGGGAGCCTACAGGAAGGCTGGGGAGAACCTGTTTAGAAAGGCCTGTAGTGACAGGACGAGGGGCAATGGCTTCAAGCTGGAGGGGAACAGATTTAGATTGGAGATTAGAAGGGGGTTCTTTACTGTGAGGGTAGTGGAGCACTGGAACAGGCTGCCCAGGGAGGGGGTTGAGGCCCCATCCCTGGAGATATTCAAGGAGAGGCTCGACGAGGCCCTGGGCAACCTGGTCTAGTTGGGGGTGGCGCTGCTGACTGTGGGGAGGGTGGGCTAGATGACCCTTGGAGGTCCCTTCCGGCCTGGGAAATTCTATGATTCTATGAAACAGTGCTTTTTTGAACCCTTAGAAGGTAGCAGGGTTCAACATGAAATGATTGTGAATCATCTGTCTTCCATTTCTTATCTGGCTTGATAAGATCATTTGGTAAAGTCATTGAACTACCTTGTAAGTGATGAGACAGATAGCGTGGTGGAGGGTGAAAGGATGGTCTTTCAAATCCGTCATTGCTTAGATGGTGTTCTATAATATTTCCAAGAAATTAGTTGTTGTTTATGGTGAAAAGGCTACAGTTGAAAGATACTAGAAGTTTAGGTCTATCTTTCAATCTGTGCAACTGTGATTTGGATTTCTGAGGTCCGAATCAAAGATGGGCAGATTTTCAGCTGGATCCTGCTTTAAATGTTCTTAAGCAGTTCCCCGGGAAGCACCCACTCTGATAAATCTCAAGAAAGCAGCTTATAATATGTGCTCTTAGAGAATTCCTGGGCAGGCCTCGCTTACTGGAAAGCATTTGTGCCTGATGGCCTGAACAAGAACTAACATACAGCTTTTGTGGCTTAATAAAGGGCATTCTAGATGTGTTCCCTGGAAATGATACTGGCACAGCCTAGAAATGGTGTTGTAAAGTTGCAGATGCCCTAAGGTCCGGCTTCCCGTGACAATGTTTAAAATAAAATGCCTTGCAAATCATCAGATCTTGCAGCTAAAGATTATGTGCAGACCTCCAGCCTTCTGTCTTATCTGCCCAAGTGCGCAGTTTTCTTTTTACTTTTGCTCTTACTTATGAATAACCCTCCTCTAAGGGGTAGTTCCCGTCCTTTCCAAGTAGTGCTCTGAAACGGTGAAAAGTAGCTGTCTGGCTAAGTGACTTACACATTCAGGATTATACTGATATCCAGGTGTGGAGCTGGGATGAGAATTTCTGTGAGACTTCAGCAGGGGCTCTAACAGGTTTTGTTTTTTCTTTTAAGTACTAGTCTATACTTTAGCTGTTATAATCAATTGGTTGTAATTTCCCTTACCCGTTACTTTTACTTGGCCCTGGGATACTCCTTTACTGTTGGTTGTCCTGTAGGTTGTCCTCTCCTGTTCTCTGCAGCACACAGCAGTTCATAGAATCATAGAATATCTTGAGTTGGAAGGGACCCATAAGGATCATTGAGCCCAACTCTCTTTAGTTCTCTAAAGCCTGAAATACTCTCTACTCTTCTGGCTGTGGCAATTTATCTGAGAGAATGCAGTGGACAACTACCGCTCTGCAACAGGGTACAAGAGAGCCCTGTGCATGGTTGCCAAAGCCACCACCAGTGCAGGTGCAACACGTATGAAACATCGTGCTGGGGCTATGGTGTCCAGAAAGCAGCACAGCTTGTGGGATACTTTGCCTGGAAAGCCGACATTTTACTGCATTGTGAAGGTGAATGCTACTTCTGACCACATCTTCTCATGTTATGCTTTGTTTAGGTAAAGAAGAGATACTCAATTGCACAGGTTTCTTGGGTTATTATATGCAAGAAGAAGCCAGCCTCTACTGGTTAATTAATCAAACATTTCCAGAAAAATGCTCAGGTATCCCCGAGAATGAACCTTCAATATGTGAAGAAGAGTTAAAAAAATTACAGTAGGTTTCCTGAAAATACTGCACTTCTGTTTGTATGTGATAATATGCTGCACTTTGTGGACTGCAAATTCAGTAAAATGTCTGAGGTTGTTTGAGAACTTTTTTCTCAAAATCTGCCTTTCAGCTGGTTGTAGGTTTCTGTACAGATAGTGTTTCTAACACCCTTCCCTCTTGCAGGTTGGGAAACAAGTTCTACGTCACAAGGCTACTACGGATTAAAAAAGTAACAGAGGAGGACATGCATCATAATTTCACCTGCACGTTGCAATCTGATGAAAGAACACAAATAAAAATAGTCAAACTGAAGAAGGGTACAGTATAATCTATGAATCATACTCCTCATACATAATTTTTGATCATGCCAGCCTTCTTAATCCTGAGGGCAGGCTACTGATTTCAGAACATTTCTCCAGATAAGTTTGTGTGCTTATGAAGGCCCTGGTTCATCCAGTTCTGGACCTAACAACCCTCTTGGGTGATTCCTTCTGCTTTGAGACAGGGGCAGCAGGGATTGCTGCTGCATCTCCTAGAGCAGCTGTGCAACGGTTCTGTAGTTCAACCACTGCTGCTCTGGACATAGCTGGGAGGCTGAGATATGCTAGATATGTTAGATCCCATGAAAGAGTGTTCCCTGTGCTCTCCTACTCACCAGATTGGTGGGATCATCGGAGTGGTGGGATCACTGCTTAAGCCTTGGTTAACTACCGAAGGCTTATGCAGCTTAGAGTCTGCTGTTTGGATCACTGTGTTTGTTAAGCAACTCTTTCTAACATTAAAATCTGAGGATTTGGTTATTTTTTTGTGGTTTTTTGGTTTTGTTTATTTGTTGGTTTTTGTGGGGTGGTTGGGGGTTTTTTGTTTTTGTTTTTGGTTTTTTTTTTTTTTTTCCTGGAAAGGTCAGTCTTTTATATTCCTGATAAAGCCTGAAACATTCTGCTTGGTAGTTTCTCTCTTGTCAGGGACTCAATCCTTCTAGCTATGAAGAACTGACCTCTACCGTATAGTAGTACTTCACATTTATAGTTCAGACAGCCTGGAGATTCATAGCAAATGGGCATTCCTTCCTTGCTTTCATCTCTCTCAGCCCTTTCCAAGCTTTACCAGGAGGAAATATGTGAAAATAGACCAGTCAAAAGATAATGCATATAATAAAGCAAATGAAATACAGACTGCAATGGGCATGACAGTGCCTTCATAAAGACTTCACAAAGATTTAAGGGTTAAAAATCTGTATTAGGAATTAAAAAGACAAAGATAACAGAATAAAAAAAAATCATTAAAAAGTAAGTCTGAAAGAGACTAAAGACAAAATTTAAAAAATAAAGATCTCGGCTGAAGACAGTAAGGAGGACATTAAGGACTGTTATGGATGGACTGAGAGAGGGATGAAAGGTAGAGAATAATGGGAAATAATAAAGAACCTGAAGGAAACTCATCATAAAAATGGGTATCCCCAGTTTGGGATGCTGTCCATCTAAGAGGTTCTGTAGTGTCAATCTTCACCCCACATACAGTTCATTTATGTGTGTGGAGGGTGTGTGAGTGCGTGCAAGGTTGTTTCTCCAGTTTTTAGAGTAATCCATGTTCTATAGTTCTTCTCCATCTCAGGACAAATGGCATGCCTATGTGCATTTTAGTATTAGTATTACCAGGAAAGGATTCACATCAACATTGTGATTTTTTTGAGGTGATTTTAAAATGCCATCAGTATTGAATACAGCAATCTTGTCATATAATACTCTTTGTTAAGGCTATGATTTCCTGGGTTTCTGTTTTACAGGGAATACCCGAGATCTTCCTGTGCACATATTTACAACTGGAATGGTCCTTGCAGTGCTATTGCCATGTGTTGCTGTAGCTGTGGTGCTTGTCTGTGTGATGTTTAGAGTTGAGGTAGTTCTATTTTACAGGAACATATGCAGAAGAGATGACACTGTTGGAGGTATGGCTTGGCAAATGCGGACATTGAAATAAGTGTATTGATTTAAAAATAGTTTCTGGTAGGTTCTATAAAACAATCATATTTGAGAAAGAGATAATATAATAAATCCAGGCGTTTTGTCAATAGAAACAGCAAAGAACATGTGAAAAAGAACTGCACGGTCAGGTGCTAAAGTGAGTTGTTATACAACTGGAGCAGTAACTGCAGATAAACACAGTGAAGAAGCTGCCTCTGGAGAAGGTGGTGGAAGGGACATGGTTACATGCTGTTCAGATGTGCTCTGTTCTGCCATATTCTTCATCACAAAAGTTAATAAATGTGGAAGAGTTTACAGTTACCTATCTGTAAAGAGGATGAACATTCTGGAGTTGTCAGACAGGTAGATTGACAGAAATTTGTTTCCACCTTACTGATTCCCTTCAGTGAGGTGAACATTAAAATGCTTCCTTGACTCTGAAAGCCATTGCAATGTTTATAGATCTGTCACTGAACGCACTTAAGGAGAGCAGGAGAGCACACCACCAGTATCTTACTAGGCAGCATTGCTGTGACCTTGACTTACGGAACAAGTCTGACAGTTACCCATTCTGGGTATAATTTTTCTGAAAACTGTGGTGACAAAACATGCTCTTTATATATACCTGATTTTCTTAGCCCTCTTTAATCTCTAAATTGTCTTGAGTAAACTGCAGTGGCTGGAGATTTTTCAGTAATGGGTGGATGAAATTTATGTCTGCTAGCATTATTTATCTATCTGTTGATGTTAGCTTTTACTGTGTACACTGCCTTACAGTGAGGATCTTGGAGAACCTGGACTAGGGCACCCTGGAGGAACTGATTGTCTGATTGATACTAGGCAAGGGATTTTCTGCTGCTAGAGTTACTGCATGCTTAGGGATTCATGAGCTTTATTTTGTGCTCTCTCTTATCATGGAAGGGACCTCTAGAGATCATCTAGTCCAACTCCCTTGCTAAAGTAGGATTGCCTAGAGCACATCACTCAGGACTGCATCCAGGTGGGTCTTGAAGGTTTCCAGAGAAGGGGACTCCACAACCTCCCTGGGCAGCCTGTCCCAGTGCTCTGTCACCCTTGCTGTAAAGAATTATTTTCTCATATTTGAATGGAACTTCCTATGTTCCAGCTTGTGCCCATTGCCATGAAGTAAATGTAGTAAAGTATCCAGAAAGGGGAAGCAAAGAACTACAGTTGAAGATGCAAAGCTATGTGCACTGCTGTATCAATCCAGATAGTTGTTCCATGGGAAGGTTCAATTAGGTATTGCTCAATGTGTTAGACCTGGCCTCTGTATTGGTCTTGGATTTTGTGTTTGTATATTACTGCCCAAAGCATGACCAGACATGGTATACTCTTATAATTAAAATAATAAATTGATTCATTCTCTTTTGCCAGTACCCATTCTACAGAACTACTTGATAGTCTTAGACAAAAACTAAAATAAATGGGGAAATCTGCAGTATCACTTCAATAGCATTCTTATCAGGTTACTGACACATTTTTTGCTTCCCTTCATTTTCTTGATGATCACAGGTGTGACATTAACTGGTTACATTTATCTGTTTTTTTTTTTTTTAAAAAAAAAAAAAAGACCAACACCTTAATGTGGAAAGAATATGTTATTTTCAAATATTTGACAAATGTAATCATAATCTTTTGTATCAATTTTAAATTGATTCAGGAATTTCTATTTTTTTTTAAGACTGTTCGTGGTACAAAGGAAAGAGCAGGAGTTGCTAGATGCTTTGCTACTGAGACAACAACTTTGAAAGCCAGAATAGTGGATCAGATACTGTATTTCTAATAGTTGCTAACAAGACAACAATTGGTGATTTCTTTCCAGATGGAAAGGAATATGATGCATTTGTGTCTTACCTGAAGGATTGCATTTCTCCTACTGAAGAAGAGAGAGAATTTGCTTTGAAGATATTACCCATGATATTAGAAGAAAACTTTGGCTACAAGTTATGTATTTTTGAGAGGGATGTATCCCCTGGAGGAGGTGAGTGTATTGAATATTCTTGTAATTAAATAGGCATATAATTTTCACATAAAGGTAAAAGTCTGTAATTAGAAGGAATTCTGTGAAATGTGTTGTGCATTGAAATGCTACATTTTTCATTTCATCTAGACCATGTGCATGCAAAGTTTGCATGTGCACATTTTACATATTTTATAGATATATTTATGAATTCACATAAACCTGCACACATACATACACATATATCTTTAATTACATAAACCCCAGATGAACAGATGAAAGAGCTGGCCTGCAGAAAGTTAAGGTGAGAACACCAAAGATGTCAGCTGTTTAAAAGTAATAATGCTTGTGCTCTTGCTCTGCTTTTGCTGAGAGCAGGGGCCTGTGAATGCACTCACATTTACTGCACAGAGGAACTGGTGTCCCTGTGTTGCGGTTTAACCCCAGCCAGCAACTAGGATCATGCAGACACTTGCTCCTCCTCCCCTTGGTGGGTTGGGGGAGAGAATCAGAAGAATAAAAATAAGAAAACTCATGGGTTGAGATAAAGACAGTTTAATAGATAAAGCAAAAGCTGTGGATGCAAGCAAGGCAAAACAAGGAATTGACTCCCTGCTTCCCATGGGCAGGCAGGTGTTCAGCCATCTCCAGGAAAGCAGGGCTCCATCACATGTACCAGTTACTTGGGAAGAAAAACAGCATCACTCTGAACGTCCCCCCCTTTCTTCTTCCCCCAGCTTTATATACTTAGCATGATGTCATGTGGTGTGAAATATCCCTCTGGTCAGTTGGGATCAGCTGTCTTACCTGTGTGTCCTCCCAGCTGCTTGTGCAACCCCAGAAAAAGATCTGGGTCCAAAGATCTAGTTGAGGAATAGGATTTCATTGTTAAAAACAAAGAACAATAAGGTCAGTCAGCCTTCCTCACAAAGCAGAATCTTCTCTCCTTGTAGAATGTATCCATTTCTGACATATTTTTCCAACCTCAGATGTGCCACAGTTCTCCCAAGCCATTTTTTCCTCCTTAAATATTAAAAAAAGCATTTCAAAAGTGTTCAATCTGATTATTTTGATACTTTTAGCTTATTTCCTTTTCTGTGGTCTGATCCATTGCAAATATGGAAAACAGAGCATTTCCTTCTATTTACAGGAGCCTTTAGTGTGTTGTAATACCCTTCTCAGCCTCCTACTCCTCTCAGTTTTCTCTTCTTTAGGTTATTCCTGCAGTCTGCTTTGCCTTTCCCTACAAGGCATGTTTTCTAGATCTTTGGCTTCTGTAGACCTTGTCCCATGGTGCTGAAGCAACCACAGGAAGTTGTGCCTGAGAACTGCATGGGTGTTTGAAGTGTATCACCATTTGATTTCATTCATTGCTTGTTAAGACAGAAGTCATGGATCTAAAACACAGTTGGAACTCATTCTGTCATCACATGCTAGTCTTCCCAACCTTGCATTACTGGCAATAGATTTGGGTGTTCGGTGACATAAAGGAAGGAGTAACCTGAGAGTTACTGAATATTTGGAGTGAAGTTGCTGTTGGTGACGTTCTGTGGAATCACTCTAATGGTATCTATTATGAAAAAGCAAAGAGATGTCTGGTTGGAGGAACAATAAGTTTTGCTGCTGCCTTCTATCTGTGTGACTACTGACAGACAGCTGTCTAGTGTAGCTGGAAATTGTATGTCGGTTTTGTCTGCTCCAGAGAACAGGCTTTGGCCATTCCTGAGCTTGTTCTTGCAAACTTTTAGTTTGCAATGCCTATTAATCTCTTTGTATGGACAGGATGCTTACATGCTCTCACTTTATAAGGGGAACAGTTGGTATACATACAATTGTTAAAGGGTAAGTCGATTCAGTGCCTATTCTTTCAATTTAGTTTAATAACACTTTTATCTTTAATTTGCAGCGGTTGTTGATGATATTCATTCATTGATTGACAGAAGTCGAAGATTAATCGTTATACTGAGCCAGAACTACGTTTCTAACAGAGCCATATACGAACTAGAGAGTGGACTACATAAAGCCTTAGTTGAAAGGAAAACTAAGATCATATTAATTGAATATATGCCTATAAGTGACTACAATTTCTTGCCAGAATCACTGTCTCTTTTGCCATCAAAGAGGGTTGTGAAGTGGAAAAAGGACAAATCTCTTCCTCTGAATTCCAGATTTTGGAAGAACCTTCGGTACCTGATGCCAGCGAAACCTACCAAGATAAACACCAAAGGACACTACAGTAATCTTGACCTAGGCTCAGAAGGGGCTCAACCACAGTCTGAGGGCTGTGGCTTTAATGCACTCGTATAACAGTTATGGAGACATAAGATGCTGCAGAAAACCACACAGTTTGCTAACTACTAGAAAACACAAACTGCACACTTACTTTCAGAAGGCAGTGTTCAGAAGAGGCCAAGTCTGAGATCTGTGAAGAATGTAGAAATCGTTACAGAGACTAGGATGATGTTAACCCCAATGCTAAATGCTGTCCCAGAGAGTTTCCTCAGCAATCTGCACAAGAAGCAGAAATTTGATTCTGCTTAGGACTTACCACAAGGCACAAAGCTAAATAATGTCGAATGATGTTAGTTACACTTGCATACTTTTTAAGGCCTGTCAATAAATATACCAGTATTTGCAAAGTATTATTTAGATGCTCTTGGTTTTGTGTTTTGGTATTTCCTAAGGATCCTGCATGAAAGTAGCCCAAAATGACTCCTGCCCTGGAGAGCTTGGCATGCAGGCTTTGGGCAATGCCAAACAGAAAAATCAAGTGAAAACAGAGAAAAAGGAGGATAGAAAGAGTAGGGCAGATTTGGTTGGGCTAACAGTATTCACTACTGACCTGTACATGATCCAGACAATCCAAGTGGGAGTGATTTGCAGGAATGGTAACGACTTAGTAATGAGTTCAAAACCATGGTGACCCTCCCTTATTATTAGCTGCCTGGCAGAAGATACCAATCTGACAAAAAATCCTGGATAAAATGGAATCGTATTTCCTCCTAGTACCAGTGAGGAGAAATTAATGGAGAATAATTTTGTAAGATCTTCTGTCAGTTTGCTAGGAAATCATCAAGGCTCAGCCCGCTCTCATCATTTTCTTGCATTCAACTAATGCTAGTTCTAAGGAGGCATCTCTTTGACAATTCATGCAGCTGTCATGAAGGAACTCCGTTATCTTCTCAGTGCACTTGAGAACACAGTTGGAGTGCTAGGTGTCATGGCAATAACTCAAAATTCATGAGAATGAAATACCTTGTTGTTTGTCAAATACCTTGTAATCAAGCATAGTTTCTGACAGATGCTCAATTAAAAGTAAAGGCTAAATGTGGATTTATGAAATGGTGACAATACAGTTGCTGGATTAACACCCAGATGAAAATGAACAAAGGAATAAGGCACACATTTGTGATGTCCTTCAGACCAGTTCCAAAATGCCTCCCTCTTTCTCTTAGGCAAATAAAGAGCTATTGAAATGTGATCCTTAGGCAAAAGCCATTCTCTGGCTTAAGCTTTTACTGAAGAGGATTTCTGCTCTGTAGATATGCGTGTCTTTACCTTTCCAAATCTTTCTCAAGGTCCAGTTCTTCTCTACCAATGTTTCCTGTGATTTGTAATCATAGATCATTTTAACACTTTCCTGCGGGACTAATTCTCCTTACTTCGTAAATGCTATCTGACATACTGGGCACATCCATTTCTTGGCCAAAAAGTTGACAGAGAAGTTAATAACTTTCCTGGTACTTAACTGAGGTGTTAAACTTGCTTCTCAGCCACATAGTTTTTCATATGCTGTCATCAATATATTACCTTACAACACAAAGCATCAAATGTATTATACTACACATATGAATACGGATAGTGCACGTGGTTTGTTAAAAACTCTGGGCTGAGCCTACCCTCTATGAGAACCAGCTGCTATAACTTGAGATTGAATTTACCGTGAATGCCTCCTCACCTCAACTTGGACATATGATGTGTCTGCATATACCTGCTCTATCTCATGAAACTGTACCCTGAAGATTGTGAGACCATGCAGAATTTGACTGCACTGAGATTTTACAGAATACCAGAGGACTTCACATGAGGAAGGTTGAAAGCTAAATGGCATTAACTCCAAAGTTGTTCAAATGCCAATGAAGCAGACATTCAGATGTAGTAGAATGGACTATTTAATATCTGTAACAGGGCAAGTATTTTTGCACAGAATATTATCATGACACATTCATTTAATCTCTATAGCTGATTGTCACTGCCCATGTTGTGGTAAAGGGAGACAAGGGAAATAAGCATATGCATCCTCATATTAACACCAGATATTGCTCTTCTATCCTGAATTACTGACTTTAATCAGGGCTTGGAAATGCCTGCTTTCTGTTTACCAGTCCCTAGAGAAAAGGAGCTGCTAATATGGCTTTTGTAGACTGGAGTTGTGTTGATTTGCTTGATCGTGTATATATCAATTTATAAGTGAATTCACATGATAGTTAGTTTAAGGTAATGGGTCAATTCAGTGATTTATATTGCATCTTTTGTTCCATTTTTTTACTTAATAAAACTTTATTTCCCCTTATCCACATCTGTGGCTTCCATTTTTGCTACAGTTAGCAGTAAATGTCAAAAATCAAACTTCCAGTAAGAAGAAAAAATGAAATAAAAAGCAAAAGTGTTTTTAGGCCTGCTCTTCACAAGCAATAAACGTCTCATTTGTATTGTAGAACAATTTAAACAAAGCTAAATCCAAATAAGTGATTGGAATATGCAGTTTCCTAGGGGAGGATACAAATGGGATCATTGAGGAGACAGCTATTTTAAGATACCAGTCTTGAAGATTCTTGTCTTTCTTGCGTGTGCTACCACATGATGGTGACTCTGACAGCATAGTCTGTGCCTGCATTTTTTAAATGTTCCTGGTTGACCTCTTTCTACCACATACAATGCAGGCTAGAAGAAAAAGAGTATCAAAGAAGTCTTCTTGTCTATTGATAATTTGAATGTAAATGTTGGGAAGAATTAGGTCTATTCTATAAAGTATTAGTGTATAGTGTAGTACCATATAAGAGCCTTGAAATGTAGGAGTCTAATGAATTATAATTGTCTATGTGCCCTGTCCTGTGTGTCCAGTTTCAGTGTGCCAAGTTCAGAGAGAGTCTTTCAGTGAAGAGATCCTTCCAAATGGACACAATGTCTAATTCCATATCCATAATTTTTGCCTTCTATAAGCACTTCTGTTCCTCCGTTGCCATCTGCATTCAGAGATATGAGAGGAGGTAGAACTTGCAAACCAGGGTTAAATGGTAAAAGGTCATAAAAAATCAGCAAGAAAATAAAATAAAGATTAGCAGGTAAGAAGATGTATGAGTCTGGCCTGGAAAGTTACTCTAGAACCATGGTTATCTAATAAAGTTGTCCTCTTCTGTCTTGTTTCCTCAGAGAAAGTAAAAAAAAAAAACCAACAATTGGCTTTCTTTTGAGAAATGCCTGTGATCTGGCTTGCACAGAAGAGGCAACTTTTACGTCATTAAATCCTATATACATTTAATAAAATGTTTGAAATGTTGCCTTTCTTAGTGAGATGCTTGTGGTGTAGTTGAAAAGTATTCAGTGTTTTGAAAAAGTGTGATTGCATTTTTGGGAAAATAGTTTTCTGATTTAGTAGCTATAATTAGATAAAGTGCCTGAGTGAAAGAGTAGTTACCAAGCTTTCTGCTTTCTCCACAAGTTGTGTAAAATGCAAAATAGAAAATAGGCTCCACAAGTATCTATTCCACTTTTGATCAACTCATGACAGCTTCCTGTGGTTCAACAATCCAAATTTCCTGAAAGTGCAGATAGACCACAGTAGTCTCATTTTTTAGTTTCATTGTCAGCTAAATACATAAACAACTCATCACAGGGATTTGTCTCTTATATTGCATTGTTGGATCTTGTATCTGGCCTCTATTGGTATGTACATCAGCAAGATTTGTCTCTTATATTGCATTGTTGGATCTTTTATCTGGCCTCTATTGGTATATACCACTGTCCAGTGTAATACATATGTTGCTGATTACCTATCAAACACAAAAATAATAGAAGTTCAGTACATTGATGGCTTAAGGTATTTGTGAAAGATAATCAAATAGATTAATGTCTTATTGCTCTAATTCTTGAGGTTTTTTGATTATAGTGAAAGAATGCTGTTCCATAAGAGGTTCCAAAACTACTTCTAATGTTGTAATGAATCTGACTTTTTAGAAACAATAGGACACATTCAGAAGTGACTGTGTCTGTTTGTGAAGAGCTGTCGGTGCATACTGGGAATAATGTGAATATCCCTAGCAAAGAGGTCTCTTGAGGAACTTTGTTACGGGGTACACCTTATTTCTGAATTCGGGCATTCAGTTGAGACTTGAGCCTAAGCGTTCACCTCAGTTGTGACAGCAATGTCTCTATCTGTGTATAGTGTCTTAATATGTATCATATTAAGCATGCTTATTTACGTAGTACTTAAGGAAGATACTGCCTTTGGGGACTGGCAGCAAAAATTCAGCTACAAGGAAGGAAGTCATACTTTGGAAATGAAAAGTTGTGAGAACTTCAGGATTGTTGCCAGCTACCAGCGTGATGAAGGAAAGTCAAACAATACCATGCAAATATCAATGAAGTTGATTGAAACCTGCAAGACCTCCATGAGTATCACCAGGAGAATCGTGTGAAGGGATCCTAGAGGAGTTTAAATTCTTAAGGCTGGTAAAATCAACAGGGAAAGGAATAGGAGCATTGTCAACAAATGCATACAGGAAAGAAAAAGCACTAGAAAGAAGAGCTGTTTAAGCTAAGGAACAGTATTTGTACAAGGACATGTGGCCATGAATAATTTTATGATGGGCATTAAAGCCATTAGACCAGTAAGGTCTCCCATGGGAGTAATGGGGAAACTATTCTGTTGTACTTTTCGTGCTGGAGAACAGTAAGTTTCTGAAAGAAAACCCATAACACAACAATGCTCATCCTTGTCAGTTTTATGTTTCTTGGCTTGCAGTAAGCTAGACTATCACAGAAGGCAAGAAGGGATTGGCATGGAATTTGAGGTGTCAGGCAATCTTTTCAAATTAATCGCTAAAGAGTCTGAGAGTGAAAAGATTTTAAAGGTCTGGGTCACGAGTGTTTGCTTTCCTCTTTCTCTGTCGACAAGTGATCTATTCAGTTATTAGCACAGCCAAAGTACTTCTGTGGCACTGGCCATATTGCACCCTGATGCCCAAGGCAGAATGCAGAGCAGTGCAGTGACTTTGTACTAAATAACACCACCTTCCCTTATTTAACAGTGGAGTAATAGGCGAGGTACCCCACTGCTCCATAAGCTGCCCTTCACTGAATGCCATTTCACTGACTGTCTAACCTCGTACAAAATGGACAGAGGTTTATGTTTAGAGGTTGTTGAGACACCACCCGTGACAGCAGAACCAACACCACTGACTCAGTGTAGAAGATAATCAAAGCGGAAAATTTCTTACCCACTCAGTGTTAACCATAGCTGAGCAGAGGAGGAGGTGATACATAAACACGTCAAGGCAGAATAGTACCAGAATACTAAAAAGACATAATCCTCCCAGCACTGTAATATTACACTACATACACAGAGGTGGTGCATTCCCCACTCTGCTTCTCGGCTGTCAAAAATGCTTGAGCAAAAGTGAGATGGACAAGGTAAGATATGGACACCCCTCCCACCAGCCTTGACTTTCCATAAGGGTGGGGAGGCACAATTTCCTGAAGCTATAGCATCAAATATGCTAAATGTATGAGTGGGAGGCTGAGTGAGGGGGAGGAGAGGGAGGGGAGAGAGAGGAAGCGGGGGGGGTGCTCTATAGCAGTCCTTTACCTTCTCCTTTATAAACTTGTTCTAGCAGCAAAGAAGCCTGGGATGTACAGGAGTGCTTTTTTAGCATCTGCATTACTTTTACAAAAGAGGAAGGGATGAATTGGAGCAAAGGCTCAGCCAGATATTTGGTACTATTTGACAAGACTTTCATCCAGTGTGTTATCCAGTACAACATACCACTTTGAGTCTTCAAAACTCTATGTGGCTGGTGTTTCTGTTGTATTTTTAAGATGTGCTCTAACAGTTGTCTGCTCTGCTTAATTTTTTGTGTGTAATAAACCTATTATTTGGAGAGTACGATAGTTAGTAGTTAAAATTATATAGCTTAAAATTATATAACATAAAAGTGATAGATGTTTCTTTGGGAAGAACCATCTTCTCTTTCTGATAGTCTTCTGATGACTTGCAAGCAGCATGGGTTTGCAATCTGTAATTCCTTCAAGAGAAGAGGAAAGTAAAATGGCTTTTCTTCATCAGAAAGGATACCTTCAAAGAGCTTAACTCTTTATAGTGAAATCTACAGTGATACATTGGAGCCATTTGTAACTTATAAACCAAACAATTATATAACATAAAAGTGATAGATGTTTCCTTGGGAAGAACCATCTTCTCTTTCTGACAGTCTTCTGATGGCTTGCAAGCAGCATTGGCTTGCAAGCATCATGGGCTCGCAATCTGTAATTCCTTCAAGAGAAAAGGAAAGTAAAATGCCTTTTTTTCATCAGAAAGGACACCTTCAAAGAGCTTAACGCTTTATAGTGAAATCAACGGAGATACATTGGAGCCATTTGTAACTTATAAACCAAACATATATTTTGTAGTGAGGCCTCACCTTGAATACTGTGTTCAGTTCTGGGCCCCTCACTACAGGAAGGACATTGAAGTGCTGGAGCGTGTCCAGAGGAGAGCCACCAAGCTGGGGACAGGTCTAGAGAACAAGTCATATGAGAGGGAACTGGGCATGTTTAGTTTGGAGAAGAGGAGGCTGAGGGGAGACCTCATTGACCTCTACAACGACCTGAAAGGAGGTTGTAGAGGTATGGGTGTTGGCCTCTTTTCCCAAGGGAATAATGACAGGACCAGAGGAAATGGTCTAAAGCTGCGGCAGGGGAGGTTGAGATTAGATATTAGGAAGAATTACTTTACTGAGAGAGTGGGGAAGCACTGGAACAGCCTGCCCAGGGAGGTGGTGGAGTCACCATCCCTGGAGGTATTTAAGAAACGTGTAGACGTGGCACTTCAGGGCATGCTCTAGTGGCTGGGAGTGTTGGTTTGTATCTGTTTGAGGGTTGGGTGTGGTGTGTTTTTGGTTGGGGGTTTTTTTGATTTTTTTTTTTGAGGTTGGACTCGATGATCTGAGAGGTCCCTTCCAACCATGAATATTCTGTGATTCTGTGAAAATACTGAAAATATTTTAGGAGACAATCACCAATCTTGATCAGGAGTTGGCTCTCTTCTGGTAAGAGCAGAGAGTGAAATACATGGTGGAAGCTGAGAATACAAACCCTGTATCTCTAAGTGCCAGAACCCAGCAGAATCAAACATTAATACTGGACATTGTGAAAAAAAATGTGTATATAAGCAGAAGCAACATTTAAATCCCCTGTTATACAGCAAAAAGCCTTCTTTTACCTTCTTGTTGTGAAAACAAGAGTAATTGACCCAATCTAAAGAGAGTGACCTTCACACCAGGAATGAAGAAGCAAGCCCTACTGTTCTTATGCTGGACCTGTATATTTACATAACCTCTATTGAAATAGGAAGAACTGGGGACTGAATTGATAGCAAGGTGCTCTCAGATGCTTTTATGTAGTTTGAGTCATGGGTTTTGCATCCATACAGGAAGCCTGGAAGAGGAGCTGGATCGTGTGGCACTGTATGTGCTGAAGTGCTCTACCTGGCTAGCAGGTCCAAGGGCCAAGTCACAGCTCAGATTTCTCAGGGCTTCTCTTTTCTATTTCTGCCAAAACTGGGTTTGGGTAACCCGGCCCAACAAGGCTTAACTGGGAGGACACAGAGAGAAAGTAATAGAGTGTCACAGTCCCCTTCTAGTGCCCACTTGCAGTGGGCGTGGAAGGTAGCTGAGGAGACTAAGAGTAAGGAGAACGCAGCTCTTATACTGAATATTATTCAATATTGGGCAGAAGTGTGGTTCTCTTGCAGATTTCAGACATTACACACTGTTTTGACCCATCCAGTACCAGCATTTGGGCAAAAAAAGAAATAAACTTTTACCCTTCCTCCTCTTAAATGAAGCAAACCAAAAAATCCAACACATTTTTACACATGATGCTAGTAGATTTCAGAACCCAAAAGTTTTTAATCTTTTACTGGGGGCAAAGGTTTTCCCCTGTTCTTTTTACAAGAAAATGACCCGGAAATTTTGAACCGAATGCAACTAAACTGAGAAAGGAAGGGATGATGACAGTGAGGTAGAGGAAATTCCTGTAAAGGAAACAGACCCAACACAGTGCACAGCTAGAACTAACCACAATTCTTATCGTGTAGCGTAGGATGTGCAAGCAAGATTTTGAGATAATTATTTTTTTAGTATAGCTAAAGATTTCAGCCTTCTCTACTCCATCTGCTTGACAGGTGAGCTGGTTTTATTATCTTTCAATGTGCATTTTAAAGTAAATTGGTTTTAATTGCTTGGTCAGACAAAATAGTAGTGTTTTAGTAAGTAGCTTCATTAGATTATTTATTTTTGCTTTGTAGGTATGGTGAAGCTTTTTTCTTCTCCTGTATGATTACTAATCTTCCTCATAGAATCAGATTATATTTCTCTTTCCATTGATGCACAAGACACAGGAACTGATAACTCTGATGCTGGTGATTTTCATCTGAATCAGAATAGTAGATTATAAGATTGCGGCATGCCACTATTTACTGGACTTCAAAGACATAATGAAATTTGGTGCAACTCTCAAGAAAGTGAATTTGATTTCATTTGCTTATATTTTATGTAAATACACACAAAATGCTATGAAATAGAGATTCATGGTTTTCTTGTGAGGGTCCTCTAGGAGTTGAAACATAGGCAAAATAATACAGTTCTTATTCTTCTCTCTTACATTTTTTTTACCACAGGAAATTAAATGAAGACCACATTAGTCTCCTTTGCAGATAAATTACTTTCCAATTAAATGACATCCTAAATCCCTAGACTAAGGATATGATAATACGAGTGTGTACGTGGCAGGAGAAGGCGGAGAGACCCTTGATAATATATTGACCAGAGTAGAATGTTTTCTTTTTCTGACAGACACTGGCCAAGATAAAATGAGTCACTGAATATATTGAATCACTGAATCACCTTGAGTCCACCTGCAGTGCAAATACACCCAAACGGTCAGTTTAAGATTATCCTGTTTCGGGAGAGTTACCCGTCTCCTTTGGTAATTGCTATCTGCTTCTGCTGTGAATTTCTCTCTTCCTCTCAAGTTCACTTGCAAGACAACGCTTCTTAATTTCACACACTACCATACTTTTAAAGCAATATAAAAATGCAAAGTTTCCAAGGTTCTCTAATAAAAACGTTACCAGTTAGAAAAAAAAAAAACCAACAACAAAAAACCCCCAGACAGTGGTGTATTTTCCTATGGCTAGCAAAAGACAAGAGAAAATGAAACAGATTGCTAACCAAAGCTACAGCATTAATTAGTTAACTCTCCCTTTCATACTTTTTCCCCATTCATGCTGGCCTTTTGAGCTTGAAGAGGGAGTTGTTAGCATGGCAGTAAACTGGAGAGCAGAGAGATTATACATCACTGGCATTATTAAATGCTTTGTGAATGGTCACTTGAGATGGTTTTGCTAGATGTAAAGAATGTCCTCTACCCTGGTGAGGCCCCATCTGGAGAACAGTGTCCAGTTTTGGGCTCCCCAGCTTAAGAAGGACAGGGAACTGCTGGAGAGGGTACAGCAGAGGCCTACAAAGATGATTAGGGGCCTGGAGCATCTCTCTTATGAGGAAAGGCTGAGGGACTTGGGTCTTTTTAGTCTGGAGAAGAGAAGGCTGAAGGGCGATCTGATCAACACCTATAAATAATTAAAGGGAGGGTGTCAAGAGGATGGGGCCAGTATTTTTTAAGTGGTGCCCAGCGACAGGACAAGAGGAAATGGGCACAAATTTGCACATAAGAAGTTCCATCTAAGCATGAGGAGGAACTTCTTAACTTTGAGGATGGCAGAGCACTGAAAAAGACTGCCCAGAGAGATGGTGGAGTCTCCGTCTCTGGAGATGTCCAAAACTCACCTGGGCAAGTTCCTGTGCAACCTGCTCTAGGCAGACCTGCTTTGGTGGGAGGTTGGACTAGAGGATCTCCAGAGGTCCCTTCCAACCCCATATCATTCTGTGATTCTGTGATTACAGACAAATGGGCAGCTGGGAAGTAAATGCTTCTGTTCTTTATCTTGGTCATTGCTTATCAGGTCAAGCACTCCTCAGGTAGCTTCTGATGACTTAATAGACTGAATGACTACCAGAAATGACCAGAGCTGTTGCCAGACAGGGTCTGGACCATTTGCTTGGGATCAAGGGAGAGGGGCGTAGGGAGGATGGAGAAGTAGATAAAACTTTCCCCTTTTGACAACAGTGATCCATTTATGTCAGCTCACCTGCTCAAGGGACTGCAGCACTGAATCACACACAAGGCCCTTGGGTTCTGCTTGCTACTGGCACCAGTATGCTTTTGCTACGTGGGTTGTTGGGTGACATAACTCAAAACATCTTCCTTTGTTTTATACAGCATTAATAGGGCTAGAGATGCAGCCCTCAATGAGTGCCTTGAGAGAGGTCTTCAGGAATGTCATAAACTCACATTCAAAGTTCAGGATCCACTGATGCTTATGCAGTTGGTGAGCCAGTGTCCTTAGCCTATGCTGGTAGGCAACTGTCTCTTTATTCAGACATACATATTGGCTTGGAGTTTCAAGATGATTTTAAAAGCTGTATGGGGCGATGACAGTTGGCAGCAGCCAATCTGTAACAAAGCACCAGGATGGGTTAAGATAAATGACGTAACCTACGCTGTGTGGCCTCTGAGTGGAAAAATAGATCATTTCGTTCACTTGCAAGGAATAGAGATGTGCTGAGGAGAAGGGTGACTAAAGTGCTCCTCTCTACACAGAGTAGGTGCCTGAAAAAGTGCAGAGTGGGAGTTCTCTTCACCTCTCTTGCTAGTGCAGTCTGCACTGCATGCCCTCTTGCTGCCTGCTTCCATGAGTCGTGTCTGATTTGCATGAGGATCCAATAGACTAGACTTTGCCCGACCTTTACTTTTTTTCCCTTGGGCTGACTCATTGTGTCTCTGGCAGCTATGCAAATGCAGAGTCACTCTGTGACTAAATGAGCAAAGCAAAAAGCTCCTTGAGGTCTAGGTTGCACAACTGGAACATCAGCAAAACACATGGCCTTTACTGAGATCCTGAATCAGGCATTCCAGATGTCAATCACAGCTATGTTTTTACTAAATATCCAAATTAAGCCATGCTTTTGAATATGCATGTGTGACAGTCTGCCTTCCCTCTAGCCACGTGGCTGAGAAGGCTGTGGGACACAGATCAGCCTTCTTAGTAGGAGAGGCAAAACACTTCATTCAACAGTGTTTGGGGTTTCACCTGGTACAGGATGCTGTAATACAGGGGTCTGGGTGCTACTGAGTGTTTTGTAGACCTGGTCCCAAATCCCTTGGGTTTCCTGGTGTCAGCTCACAGATGGCACACCACAGAGCTGATGCCTTAGGATGGTGTGGATGTTACCCTGTTCAGCAGGTCTCTTCTGGGGCCATTCAATGCAATGCAGCACAGCACTGTGGTGCAGAATTGAGGCCTGATGCTGCACGTGCAGGTAAGTCATGGAGGAGAACAAGGCTTTTTGAGGTTGCTCTGCTGACCCTAACGGACATCTTAGGGTATGGCCATTGTGGCTGGTAATAAAGCCCGGTAGGAGCATATCTCTTCGGTGAAAGAGTTACAAGCAAAGACCTGATGTTCACACAGCACATGCTTTGAGGGTTTTACTTCTGCATAGTTCTACTCCAGCCCCATGGACTCAGTGGTATTTGCAGCTGGAGCACATCTTCAGATTTGATTTAATCCCAAAGGAATACTGCTTACATACCCCGGGCCTATTGGCCTTCAGGATACAGCCAAGTTCCATGGATTTTGGTGCCAGTTATGCCTTTCTCAGTCTGTTGCTGACAGTTGTTGATTTTATTACTTGGTACCTTATCACTCATTTTAGAGAACAGATTCCTCTTCTAACAGCAACAGCTGCTAAAAGACCTGCTTTTCTCCTCCAAATTGAGAACTCTGCATTCTTGTAGGTATAACTTGGAAATCCATCTGTAACCAACTCCTTGCAAGATGCATTTAAAGAAACTGTTGCATATTCTTGAATTTCAACTTTCTTGCATTTTTGTGAAACACTATGAGCAGGAAGAGTGCTGCAAACTCCACTTTTAGAAAGCACAATATCTAGGAAACACTGTCTGCTAAGTTTTATAGAGCTACATGATGAAATACGTAATCGCCTAAATATCTTATTGGAGTATTATTTTTTTTTAAAATATTATTTTCTTTTTTTACAGAAAGAAAGATGATTCTTAAAGAAAATGTCTCAGAAAATCAACCAAAATTGATAAAGAAAATAATGCTCACTTTGTGCTGGATCCTAGCATTGTTTGTCAGCAGGGCAGAAGTTAGAGAGATTAACTTGCCTGGTAAGAGTCTGCGTTGGGGAGTTTTGGTGTTAGTGCTGCCTTTTGACAGCTGAGAAAAGTGGGTCTGCGTTTTGCCATGCCTTCATGAGGTTTTCTTGCACCTGTTCATGCTTGTGTGAGGCAAACAGCTGCTTCTAGCCTTTCTGCAAACTTTTAAAGTATTGGTAATACAGTTTATCCAACATATGATTCAAAATTCAGTTTCTTAATTAAAAGAAAAGGGCAAATGTAAAGGAGAATTTCTGAGAACCAAATGGGGCAAATGAATTGGTTCTGTGACTCCTTGAAGTCTCCAGCAGCTGGGCCAAGCCTGTCAGGGGGGAGAAGGAAGAGAAAGGCAGGGTGAGACCAATCTATCAAACTCTTCCACCCACACAATCTATCTGGAGGAGCTTGATCCAATTTGCAGAGAGAAACGGAAACTGAAGAGCCTCCCAGGTGGGCAGGCGAGGAACTGAAGATTTCATGCTCTCCTTTCTGCTGAAGTGAAATCCTGCCATGCTTTCATGGGTTACCACATCCTGACTGGCAGGAGGGGTTATGCAGCAAGGTCAGCCAGCCTTTAGGGAATTCAGGGTTAGAATGGGTGACTACAGCTTTCAGAATCCTAAAATTTGTTTCACTTTAGTGACTAAAACAAACATAAGAGCAGAAGTATTTGAAAGCAGTGAGACTATAGTGCTTGTCAATCTTACCCTAAATAGGGACCGTGGTGGGCAAGCTCTGCTTCTTCAAGTTTATGTCAACCCCTTCTCCATTAATATGAAGAGAGCTAGAAGAGCAACCTCTGCTTTTCTGAGGAGTTAAGGTTTAACAGGTTAGCACCCATGTGAAAACCATCAGCTCGCTAAAAACCTTAAGCTATTTTCACATTAGACTTTTGAAAAAGGCCTAATAAACTTTTGAAAACCTTTGAATAAACTTAGGAGAACATTGGCAAATCCCATGTTTAAGGAAATAAATTCTCTATTATCCTAGCATCTGGTCACATAAAAAAATTATTTAACACCAAAAAAGGTTAAGTTTTTGCTGGTTTTTTAGGCATACTGTTTTTGCAGTGTGCCTAATTATTTTATTTTTTAAAAAAAACATGATGACTGGGTGTTCTTTCAGGTGGTACTGATATCTTATTGTCCTGCTTTTCAGGATGTTCCCATGTCGAACCTCAAATACGGTATCGTGCAATTAGTGATGAGGAGTTTGTTTTACAATGCGCTTTACCGGATAAAGATACTACGCGCATTTATAACAGCTCAGTTCCAGAGCATAAGGTGAAATGGTTCTGGCGTCAGAAGGATGAAGAACCACTGAAGCCTATCAAGGAAAGCTCTAATCCTGTTCGCCAAGGGGATGCACTTTGGTTTAAACCAGTGAGAGAGAGTGCTTCTGGAGTGTACATCTGCATGATATGGTATGTAATAGAGAAAAAGGCTTATATTTCTATACAAGAATTAATGATTTTGTTTTGTGTATTAAATGTTTAACCTTTTTTTTTTTTTTTTTTTTCCTGCATCACTCAGGAAAAAAATCCCATGTCTCAAAATTGTTTTGGAGGTCCAAACAAAGAAGGTGGCAAAATGTTCAGATTATGACACGAATACGCTATATCTTCTTGCTGGCAATGGGAATTCAATAACTTGTCCTGGGACAAAATGTTACAACCACATAAAAAAGCCAGATGTAAAATGGTACAAGGTAAGAGTCACTCTCTTGAGCATTCAAAAAAGCTCATTGGAGGTATAGCTTTAGGTCTAGTTAATGCTCATGTGCTGTAGGTTCTTGAACTCTTTGAGAAATTTAACCCAAAAGTAGAATCTTGAATAGCTATGTATCAAGTCTGTAACTAAGAGTTTTGAAGAAATTTGCCACACTCAAAATATTATTCCATGAAAGAGAAGCCTAGAAATGCTTTCTTTTCACCTATGAAATTGAAGCAATTGAGAATCAAAATAGGTTCTTTACAAAACTGACATATAATGGAAATTTAAAATTTTAGGTTTTGTTTTGACATTTTCAATTCTGTTTCACCTATGAAATTGAAGCAATTGAGAATAAAAATAGGTTCTTTACAAAAATGACATATGATGGAAATTTAAAATTTTGGGTTTTGTTTAACATTTTCAATTCCTAAAATATCAAATATATGAAAGAAAAAGTGCCTTTGTTCTTTTAAGATTAATGTTTCAAATTGTTATTTCCAAGACTCTTGTTTTTAGTGAAACGTTGGTTCACTGAAACATTATTGATTTACTCTTTTTCAAATGATCACTAAAATACTCGCAAGCTAATATTTATTCCTATTGTGTTTGTAAGGATTGTAATATACCATCTAAACCTGTATAAATGAGCAAATGAAAATGACTGAAATTTCAATTACATATTTTATTACCTGGTATTACTTACATTATTTATTCTATCAAGTAGAATTAGGATCTAGTCAAAGTTGCTTTTCATTTACTTTCAAACTTTAAATGAGGTATATCTTTACCTACATCTTGATCTGAAACCAACTGAATTTAAGGAGATTCTTTCCATTTTGCATTAGTGGATTTTTTTCAGGTATTTGATTTAAGGAAAAGTCTTAATGGTCTTAGAGAATATGAATGCACTAAGCTGAAAAATAGGGATGTGTTAAAAAAATAGCCAGTTTTCATCCTTTTAAAAGTAGTAAGAGTGTTATCAGTCTCGGACAATCCAAACCCATGATTTACTTCTCATAAAAGAACATGTTTTCAAAGTAATTTATTTAAAGAATAAAAAATACCCAGTCCATTGATTTACTTCTCATAAAAGAACATGTTTTCCAAGTAATTTATTTACAGAATAAAAAATACCCAGTCCATCAAAAAAGTGATCCTTTTTGTTGCTCTTTAGTAACAGGAATTTAATTTAGATTAGATTCATGTTTTCATATTTCTCTCAGCAATCACAAATTTTAAGTGATTGTTTAAAAAGACAATGGTATTCACATATTATAGACCATAATTTTTTAATATAACTGACAAATGTCCTCAGACTACTAATAAATCTTTTTTCAGGCTTCAGTGGAAAAAGTTTAGTTTAGCCAACTCCCATGGTAATCCTATCCAAATATCTTAGATTATAATTTAATAACAGGAACTACAACAACAACAAAAAAGGACTTCTAATTTCTTGATATTATTTTCTTTTCATTAGGATGGTCATCAGATAAAATACAGTAAAAGCAGACAAAGCCTAAAGCTTAAGCATGATGAAATCTACTTGAATCCAACCTATGACAAAGATTCTGGAGTGTATGTGTGTGATTACACTCTATATGACAACACTATCCAGTGGACAATGAGAACAACAGTAACAGTAGAAGTGATTGGTGAGTAATATAATAACTCAGAATAATGTACTTGAAGTAAAGTATGTTTTCTCTATTCTTTCCTACCATATTTATGCCTTTTGCTCAGGCTCTTGTTCTTAAAAACTCATAAACTGAACTAGGTATATGATCATTGAAATTCTCTTCCAAGTATTACAAGGACATCTTGGGATATTGGCCGGAACCTTCAATGTTCAGTAATAACATGTAGCATACAATGCCATAAATTTCAAGATATAATTCTGCTTTGGATTTATTGTAGTTCCTAAACAGTGGGTGTCAAATCTACAAAGGATTTAGCTCTCTTGATCCAGGAGTAGAATTCATGAAACTTCAACTGGTGTCAATGTTCTCCATGTACTGTATGGGGTGTGTTAGGAAGATATTCACGTGCTTGGAGAAAGGAGTGCGAATCCTGCATGGGAAATGTGGAAAAAAGCAGTGCATCTCATTCCTACCTCTGTTCCTGAAGTAGAGGGTTATGTGAAAGTAAAAGTTCGTTCCTTGTGGCATGGATGAGACCTTCCTTTTTTTTCACTTGACCATGATGAGGAAGGTGATGTTGGTGGCATCATTGCCCATCTTCTACGTAAGTCTTTAACGGCAGAGGAAACAGGAGGCCTGTGAGCAATCTAACTACCAAACAAGCTTGTTGTTTGTGCTGTTTGGGGGAAGACATCACTGCCTGCATGACCTGTTATTATAGGCTTTGTATGGCTTATTAAATAAAACTGACCAGAATTCTCTAGCACAGTGATATGGCATGACATTATATTCTCCTTCAAATCATGGTGACCTTTTCTGTAATATTTACTGTCCTCTGCTGCCCTTCAGGTGAAGCCCAGATATTGCCTGGCAGAATGCCATTGGACAAGGTTAACACTACACAAGGGAGCATGCTATTAACTCAGGATGATGAATGAGAGAGACACTGTTTAGTTTTGTAGAGGAGAGATGTGGTTATGCTTTTCTCCAGATATCTGTGATTGAGTGCTCTAAGTCACTCTCATCAGACACTTCAGTCACTCCAGGCAATCACAGGTCCCAGAGGAAAACATAGCTACATCTATTCTATATCCTGAGCTTTGTAGACCCAGTAAATCTGTTTCTGTATGACAGTAGCACAGGACCTATTCTCAGCATCCTGATGGAACGTGTGCCACTCTGTGGAAGGGAGAACAAGATTTAGGGAGTGAAAGAAAGGTGTCAGGTAAGGCAACTTGGTTCTATGGTCTAGTGAGGACAGCACTCTTCTGAAATAGCTGATTTCAGTTTTTTTGCAGATGTTTGATGCATTTAGTAGTAAGAAGTCATGGAAAAAATATATAAACATCACCAGGACAAAGCCTAGAGCCCATGTCTCACCAGAAGAAGTCATGGAAAAAATATATAAACATCATCAGGACAAAGCCTGGAGCCCATGTCTCACCAGCTTTTGAAACCTCTGTGTGCTGGTTTACAACGTCTGGTGCTCTTTTACTCTTCTCTCCGCCTATATTCCCCCAGTATTTTCCAAGCAGGTGTGGGCTAGCTCTGCTTTTATTCTGATCTGGCTGAACCTGAGTTAATGCACTGTGCTTCTCAGTTCTTTTCCCTCACTTCACACACAGTCAGAAAAACGCTCGAAAGGTGCCGTGTGCATATACACTCCCCCCGAATCTTGCATATATTTCTCTGCTGTGGCTTTGGTATAAAAAAAAAAAAAAGAAAAGTGTCATGCGGCACCATTTCCTGCAGATTTCCTAGAATATCAGAGCTGTGGGTTTTAGCCCCTCCAGGCTGTTTTTCTGGAGCCTGGGTAATTGCTTACTAGATTGTACAAATTTTGGGTGTCATTAACTGTGCCCTTTGGCAGCCCTTGTTTTCAAAAAAACACGTGGTTATTTGAATGCATTTACCTATGCTGTGTATTTAAAGTGAATAAGGTGTGTGTGCTGTATGTATGTTTGCTGGGCGTGGAATGGGGCCTGGCAAGGAACTGCTACTGGGATTGCATCCTTTGGGGAGTGTTGCAGGGGGTGTCCCTTATTTCTGCATCCTAAATAACCTTAAGTGCAGGATAGACACAGAGGTCCTCAGCTCCCGTATGGTGGCAATGCCTCAGAGTAACTGAGACAGCAAGTGTTTAAATAGCTTAATAAGTTTTGTGGTCAAAACTCCCTTATCTGTGCACTCTCAGACACCTCAACAATTGTAAATCAACCTCTTGGACTTAGCTGTCTAAATTCCACCTGAAATTTGAAAAAGAAAATTCTGTGAGCTATTTTCTCTGGTCTTCTGCACTGATGATAGCATTATAGTTGCTAACAGCATTCCTGTTAATTACAGCAAAAAACACTATCCATCCACCAAACTTCTTGTATCCCAACGGTGTGGTGATCCTCGAGGCAGAGCTTGGTAAGTTTTTATTCCTCATCTGACAGCGAAAGAAAACACTTAAATGCGGTATTGATAGATAATGATTTATCTTGATAAAGCAAAACAGCTTTGCTCTCTAGGAGTATGAAAATCTTATTCAAAATACAGTTTTTTTCTTGATATATATCATCCTGGGTATTAAAGGAAGCATCATGCATTATACAGATTTCAGGCTATTTCAGAGAAAAATATTCTGGTGACCTTTATACATAGTTTTCCTGTGCTAATTTGTTCCAGGAAAGCCACTTGAATTGGAATGCCGTGTACAGTTTGGGTTTGAAAGAGTTTCTGCAATGAGGGTAACATGGAAAAGAAACAGCAAAGAAAATATAAATGAGAAATTGACTCAGGAAACAAGGTAAGAAAAAACCCAGTAGTCTGATCGCTACTACAGTCAGCAACTGTAAAAATCCTTCTACAATAGCTTTACTGAATACATTTTACTGACAGAAACTCAGGAGGCTCTGTTCTTCAACATATTAATGTGTAAGTCCATAAGCATGTGTCAGGCATGTGCACCTCATATACAGAAACACATATTGATGGCCATAAAGTCAAGAAAAACTTTCTGCCCAATCTTAACTTTTCCTCCTAAAGCTTTAGCTCGTGGACAGCTTCAATATGAACACTGCTCGGTTGCCTGTGCCTGCATCAGCTGTTTTCAAGTGTTCCCTCTGTTGTGCCTTGCTAGCAACTCACACAATCTGTCTTTGGAAGCTGCCTCCAGGTGGGGAATAAACCAGATCAGTAAAGCAGTACTGTGGACACTGAAAGGAGTTCGGGTGCCTCAGATGATGGGGTGTGTTTATTGAGTCAGCCTGAGGACTTGCAGCACTGAATTCAAGAGTCTTTCCTGGCAAGAATTAACCAGACCCTGCAGAGAAGCAATGTGTGTCCTGTGACATGGGGACAACCTAAATATTTACCAAACTTTCCTTCCTGTACTTCCCTGCCTCATTCACTTACTCAGTTCAAACTTGGGCAAGAAACACAGCGTAGGCAACACAGGCAAGTGTGTCTTTCACTATACAGCCTCAAGGTCATCTTTATGGGAAAACTCTTCTGTACACTGGGGGAAGAAAAAGACCTGCTGTCACTGCTAAAAATCAAGTTCTTAATATGAGTCATATGGGGAAAAAATAACAAATGATGATATCACACACACACATGCACATGGCACATACATTCCCTCATTGGTAGATTGGAAATCGGAATTTCCTAACTTCTGAATGTTTAGCTTTGTAATGTTCTTCTTACCAAGGTCTTGGCTTTTTGCAGGCATACAATTTCTGTTTGTATATTTTTTAAAAATCCCAAAGTAATAAAATGTTACCAACAGACTTTCAGTACAGGTTGAATTCTTGCCCTTGCTCATGCTTGTGTATCTTGAGTTAGCAGAGGTAGAGCCAAGGTAGACTGTCATTTTGCAGTGGCGTGATGTAAGGCACCTTCAGGAGCACCCAGACCCACCTGTACCTGTAGCCCTCAAAGAGTAATGCTGAGACTGAGAAAGCCTGGGTGTTCTCAAGCAGTTGCAGACACAGATCAGTTCCTCACAATCCCCACTTGCCCCCGAAGGGATTCCTCTGTTACCTCTTCATTTCCTATACTTCTGTCCCCTATATCTGTCTTATTCTGTTTGCCTGTCCTGTTCTTGGGCTCTTTACCTCTGCGCTGCTCAGTCTTTTTGCCCAGCTCATTCTCTCTTAAGGCTCCTTTTTCAAGTTTTGTTTCCCCGTGTTTCCTCCGGGGCAATTTTTTACACCTTAGAAAAACAAAAGTAATCTTGTAGCAGACAACAGGGGCTAAATATTTAGAACTAGGCAAGTGCTTAAGTATTTTGCTGAGAAGATGAATTAAGAATAAACCTTACAGTCTGCAGACCTTTGACATTAGTATTTTCTTACAAAGTAAAAACAAAATGGAAGTTCCAAACCAGGATATTGTATCGCTGTTAAAAGTTCAAGCTGAATCTTAAGAAGTTGCGAGCTACTCTTTCATTGCATTTAAGACATTTGGGGATTTTGTGACTGAACACCAAAGGTATCATGCAAATACATATTCTTTTCCCTTTAGCATTTATCATAAAAGTTTAAAGGGGCACACGCTTCTTCATGTTGCGAAACTGAAAGAAGTTACTGAAATGGACTTCAGAAGTAACTTTACCTGCTTTGCTGAGAATTTGGTGGGGAATGCCACTGCTGTGATCCAGCTGAAAAGAAAGCAGAGAGGTAAAACTATTTGCTCTTGAAGACACATTTTGATTTACTCAGTGCTTCAAATTCTTTCCCCATTGACACTGGCTTTTTAGCCAGCTGCAGAAGTTCTTTGAAGCTGGATGAGAAAAAGTTTGATTTGTCAGATGTCTAGAAAGGCACATTATTCTGAGGACTACTTAGAAGAACAGGGGTATCAGGGGACTTACTGCAGGCAGGTGGGCCAAGTGGAAAGTGGAGAATAACTGGGAGGCAGAAAAAGGAGAGTACCATCTCTGAGCATTAATAGGCAATCTACTAAACTGAAGCAGAGCAGCTGCTGAAAGCAATAGTAGTCCTTGAATTTTATAGGACATTTCTGTTTGTTTCCCCAGTCCTTAGCATGCATGTTTCTGCAAAATTACCATAATTGATATGAATGTGGCAGCCTTTCAAAGAAAGGCCAAAACCAGAATCAGTGTGGAAATTAAAGCATTGAACTATAGTTCACAGTGGAGATTCAGCACTGGAGCAGCAGAAAGTCTCCAGCGGGGCACTATGTGCAGCTATGTCTGTTCTGATCTGACTTTTGCACCTTGAGGGATGGACCCTTTTCTCTGTGCCTTCCATCACAGATCTGCTTTGCATACCATCAAGGAGATACCATTCAAAAAAGGTCCCTAATGGCAGACTGAAACTGCATTAAGGTTTGCAGCTAAATGAATTCCTAACTTCCCTAAAGTTTGCCAGTGGGGCAAGAATGAAGATTGTGAGATAGTTTGCCACCATTTTTGCACTGAGTTTTTTATCTAAGTGTCAACATTATTTTGGAAACCTGAATTATAATAGACCCTTTTCTTTCTACAGTGTTTCTTTTATACGTGCTATGCAGTGCCATTTCTACACTATTTGTGTTGCTTTTGTGCGCTGTCTTTATTTACCAGCACTGGATTGAAATAGTGCTGATGTACCGAAGTTATTTGATCCACAATGAAACTACAGGAGGTAAGAAACATTGTATAATATCAATCTTCTCCAGTTTTTCTACTGCCTTTTGCCATGTGCATTAGTCTGTTGTGAATTAAGCATTTAATTAAATTATTTTAATGACCATGTTCTCTATGAGCCAATACAAAGATTGTTAAAACTTGCAAGATGCTCAGTGGATTCAGGTGGACAAAAAGTGTTGAGGAAACACCTAATACCAGCTGAAATGTCACAGTTAGCCTTTTACAAGATCCCTAATTTACCCATGGAAGATTACAGTAGGAAGATGAATTTTGGCAGTCCCTTTGCAGGGAATAATAGAGTATCTCCAACACTTTAACCTCGTTCTTCCAAAGCGTTCAAGAGTGGACAAGAATCAAAGGTCCTTCAGAACTAAGAGAAGCACTCCAGAGTCTATTGTATTTTTCACCTGAAGTTGAATAATTTCTCAGAAGAATAAACAAAGGAGAGAAATAAGATGATATAGGGCGCCAACTGAGAAGTGTATCACAGAATCACAGAATCTTCTAGGTTGGAAGGGACCTGGGAAATATTCATATTTTCCTTATAAAAATTGTGTTGACTGTTTTGACATTTACACCAGAGTGATCAGCTTCTGATACTTTGAATCTCTGTAGTAGCATCACCGCATCGTGTCAGTTAAAATGGGCCTCCAACATAACAGGCAGTGGAAAAATGTATCAGAAATGACAGTGCATACTTCAAAGAACTTAACATATAATTTTCTTAAATGGGTTGAGAGTAATCTGATAGTATGTGCTTAAAAAATTTTTTCTAAAAATTCTTGAATCTTGATGCGGCTTAAGATACAGGTGTCTGAGTCTGCATTTGTGCTTGCGTGTGTATATGTAGATTATACGTGACTGTGAAATAACTGTATCTAGATATCTATAAATACATACGCAATGAGAAAATTAACTGCCCGTTTGGAAAATATTTTTGGGAGTCCTAGGGCAGCTGGCAAATGTGATTTGGGAAATCACTCAAAATTTCCCCTCTATTTGGTAACAAATTGATTTAAGAACCTCTGGAAAATCCCCTTAGGTTTCACCCTGTATGTCAGTAGGACAGAGACAGACCTGCCAAGATTTGTGTGTTGAAGTTGAAGATGCCGTTGGGTTCCACCAGGGCAGCCTCTGTCCCGCTCCCCAACTCTCACATATCGTATCACATGCACGTAGCATCATTTGCAGCCTGGGGGCATGGAGTGTGCAGACCAACTGTGCTTGCCCAGATAGTTTTCTGCCTAAGGTGACTGGCCATTAAAGGTGTTTTTACCTGCAGGATTATGTCCTTCTCACTTTGCGTGGATGCATATCAAGTCACCTGAGGTCTGAAAGGGCTTTGGTCATAGACTGGCAAAGCAGCAGTTAGGTCTTAATTTTGCTGTTTCTTCCTGTCCATCATTTCTTCTCTCCCACCCCTCTCAGCACAGAATCAGAAAATTGCAGAATCCCACAAGGTTGGAATGGACCCCACACCTGATCCCACACCCTGCTCAAAGCAGAGCCAACCTAGGCCAGGTTGCTCAAGATACTGTGGACAGAGAATCCACAGCATCTCTGGACAATGTGTTCCAGTATTTGACAACTCTCACAGTGCAAACTTTTTCATTAACATCTCATGAGAATTTCCCTTGTTGCAACTTGTCTCCTCTCCTATTATTGTGCACCTCAAAGAAGAGTCTGTGTCCATCATCTCTGTACCCTCTCATTTGGTAGTTGAAGACAACAGTTAAGGTCACTGTTTTTCTCATGCCTCTCTAACCCTTGGTCTTCCTCCTTAGCCAATTCAGATATGTCTCTTTAAAATCTTGCCTTCTTCCACAAGGAGAAAGAAGCAATGAAGAACCTGTAATACTAACATTTATAGGCCATGTATGCATTCACTTTTCTTAACTCTGGTATTCTTCATTCCCTACCCTTTGGCATCTTCAATGTTTGTGCCAAAAGTTCCTCAGGTTATAATTTTCCTTCTGTAAAATTCAGGGAAAAAAAGAAAAATCCTAGTGGTGCTTAGTTCTAACTTGGTAGTGTAATAAATAGTAATATTATGAAGGAAAACAGTGATGTATTCATTAATGGTCATTGTCTAATAAGATTGCAGTGACCTCTGTGGGTGAAATGAAGAATATCCATCTTGTAGTGCAATTTATTGTCATTTCAAAACTGTTTTCAAAGGAGCTGAAATTCAGGATGTAGCGAATTTGAGTTCAGCTAAACCGATGTAGTGACTCTCTGCCCCACCTTCAATGCCCCCACTAGTCCTGCATGACTGCTGGTGGCAATTCACTCTTGTGGGCCTAAGTTGGCTCAACTTGGCAGAAAAATAGCTCAGTAAAAGACAGTGGGTAGCTAGCAAAGTGCATCAGCTTCCTCTGTTACCACAACAGCTTCAGCACCAGTAGAAGGAAGTGGTGAAAGCGTGTGGCCAGGAGCAGAGAGGGGAGGAGCTGAGAAGTATTATGTGTTGTCTAGTCACACCCTTGGCCTCCAAACCTAGTTTGCACACCTATGTTTTGTTTTGATGACATACTTTCTACTACACGCAAGTTTTACATGTAGATGTTCAACCCCAGCTTATGCATGTCTTTAGCTTTTATTTCCTTTGGTCCCTGGAATCCACATGGGCTCTTCTAGATCCTGTGGGAACTTGATGATCCTAGCTCAGGTTTGTAGTCCTAATCTTACATGTAGGGGCAGAAAACAAGAGTTTAACACTGAGGCATGAGGTGACACTCAACACCAATACTTAGGTGTCTGTGCTGGAGGTGGGTGTCTCAGTTCCCATGCAGTGAAGACATACTCAGTATAGTGAAATCTAGAGAGCTTCTCAGCTTGCCCTGCAGCAGCACCCTGCAGTTGGAGGGTGCTTTTAAACAACTGAATTTCTTTCTGGGTCCCATTAAATGTATTGACCGATGATACGACTCAGCTGATTGAACATATGTGTCTGATGTCATTTGGGTTGCCTGAGGATGTCCTGCCATTCCAAAGGATTTGAGTCTCCAATAGTTTCCACGTCAAATTTGGCAGTCCCATCAATCTTAGGACACCTCAAATGGCATCAGACATCTACATATGGGGAAATAGACTGAGTCCACTGTGCCTTTGGCTTTCACCAGCAATTCTTTTTGTTTTCTTTCTTCCTCCCTCAAGTGTAGTCCAAATTTTATTTAGCAAATAGATAAGAATTGCTTTTGCCTTGTAGTTAAGAATGAGTTAAGCTGAGTTAACTCAGGTCATTGGCTGAGTTAACTCAGGTCATCAGTACCTGACAATGCTGATAAAAGTTCTTCATATTTATTTTTCATCTGTACCACACAAACATGTTCTTTAATGAGTCTGGAACATCAGTACGTGATGTCTGAGCTGATACTTGGATCAGACTTAGGCTTTGCTACTTGCACCAGTCTCTCTGATTAGAAACCTAACAGTGCATGAAAACAGTGCATTTTTGCAAGCAGCTAGTATTTAAGAACATTTTTCCTTTAAAACTCACTATCTTTTCAAAGTAGGCTGTGCGTTAATGAGTATTTTTTGAATCAGTGTTTGGGCAAATGAGAAAAGATTGGGACTCATTCCCTACAACGTGGATTTTGCCTGGAAGGGGCCAGATCTTCCACTCGTGAAAACTGGTCCATGTTTGTGAAAATGCACAAAAACGTCCAATTTAAATTTCGTTACACTTGTTTTTTGTAGCTTCCTCATTTCCTTTGGTAATATATGCCTACAAAATTTGCAAGACAGTAAGGAATAAGGGTTGGCTTTGGGTAACTACATGGTTGTGCTTCATAAACAGGTGATAATTTTAGGTTTGTGTTGTGCCTACTTAAATAGATATAAATGGAAACTGAACATTAAGAAAGAAGCTGAGTGCTTCAGACAGACTGATTAATGTGTACAATGTTGCTTATTCATTTATTTTAGATGGCAAAGAATTTGATGCGTTTGTGTCCTATGCAAAACTAAACTCCTCTGAAAGTGACTCTACTTTAATTAGTGAGGAAAAATTTGCCCTGGAGCTTCTTCCAGATATACTGGAAAATAAATATGGATACAAGTTATGCATTCTTGAAAGAGATATTCTTCCAGGAGGAGGTAAGGTCCTTGTGGGTGATTGAAAACTCTAGTTCTTTATACAATTGTTTTTCACTTTCCAAAAAACCATATGCACCAGATCGGCAAATGGTACTTTGGTACTGGAATTTCTGCTCAAATCTCATGGAAGGGACCTGGGAAATATTCATATTTTCCTTATAAAAATTGTGTTGACTGTTTTGACATTTACACCAGAGTGATCAGCTTCTGATACTTTGAATCTCTGTAGTAGCATCACCGCATCGTGTCAGTTAAAATGGGCCTCCAACATAACAGGCAGTGGAAAAATGTATCAGAAATGACAGTGCATACTTCAAAGAACTTAACATATAATTTTCTTAAATGGGTTGAGAGTAATCTGATAGTATGTGCTTAAAAAATTTTTTCTAAAAATTCTTGAATCTTGATGCGGCTTAAGATACAGGTGTCTGAGTCTGCATTTGTGCTTGCGTGTGTATATGTAGATTATACGTGACTGTGAAATAACTGTATCTAGATATCTATAAATACATACGCAATGAGAAAATTAACTGCCCGTTTGGAAAATATTTTTGGGAGTCCTAGGGCAGCTGGCAAAACTGATTTGGGAAATCACTCAAAATTTCCCCTCTATTTGGTAACAAATTGATTTAAGAACCTCTGGAAAATCCCCTTAGGTTTCACCCTGTATGTCAGTAGGACAGAGACAGACCTGCCAAGATTTGCGTGTTGAAGTTGAAGATGCCGTTGGGTTCCACCAGGGCAGCCTCTGTCCCGCTCCCCAACTCTCACATATCGTATCACATGCACGTAGCATCATTTGCAGCCTGGGGGCATGGAGTGTGCAGACCAACTGTGCTTGCCCAGATAGTTTTCTGCCTAAGGTGACTGGCCATTAAAGGTGTTTTTACCTGCAGGATTATGTCCTTCTCACTTTGCGTGGATGCATATCAAGTCACCTGAGGTCTGAAAGGGCTTTGGTCATAGACTGGCAAAGCAGCAGTTAGGTCTTAATTTTGCTGTTTCTTCCTGTCCATCATTTCTTCTCTCCCACCCCTCTCAGCACAGAATCAGAAAATTGCAGAATCCCACAAGGTTGGAATGGACCCCACACCTGATCCCACACCCTGCTCAAAGCAGAGCCAACCTAGGCCAGGTTGCTCAAGATACTGTGGACAGAGAATCCACAGCATCTCTGGACAATGTGTTCCAGTATTTGACAACTCTCACAGTGCAAACTTTTTCATTAACATCTCATGAGAATTTCCCTTGTTGCAACTTGTCTCCTCTCCTATTATTGTGCACCTCAAAGAAGAGTCTGTGTCCATCATCTCTGTACCCTCTCATTTGGTAGTTGAAGACAACAGTTAAGGTCACTGTTTTTCTCATGCCTCTCTAACCCTTGGTCTTCCTCCTTAGCCGATTCAGATATGTCTCTTTAAAAACTTGCCTTCTTCCACAAGGAGAAAGAAGCAATGAAGAACCTGTAATACTAACATTTATAGGCCATGTATGCATTCACTTTTCTTAACTCTGGTATTCTTCATTCCCTACCCTTTGGCATCTTCAATGTTTGTGCCAAAAGTTCCTCAGGTTATAATTTTCCTTCTGTAAAATTCAGGGAAAAAAAGAAAAATCCTAGTGGTGCTTAGTTCTAACTTGGTAGTGTAATAAATAGTAATATTATGAAGGAAAACAGTAATGTATTAATTAATGGTCATTGTCTAATAAGATTGCAGTGACCTCTGTGGGTGAAATGAAGAATATCCGTCTTGTAGTGCAATTTATTGTCATTTCAAAACTGTTTTCAAAGGAGCTGAAATTCAGGATGTAGCAGAATTGGAGTTCAGCTAAACCAATGTAGTGACTCTCTGCCCCACCTTCAATGCCCCCACTAGTCCTGCATGACTGCTGGTGGCAATTCACTCTTGTGGGCCTAAGTTGGCTCAACTTGGCAGAAAAATAGCTCAGTAAAAGACAGTGGGTAGCTAGCAAAGTGCATCAGCTTCCTCTGTTACCACAACATCTTCAGCACCAGTAGAAGGAAGTGGTGAAAGCGTGTGGCCAGGAGCAGAGAGGGGAGGAGCTGAGAAGTATTATGTGTTGTCTAGTCACACCCTTGGCCTCCAAACCTAGTTTGCACACCTATGTTTTGTTTTGATGACATACTTTCTACTACACGCAAGTTTTACATGTAGATGTTCAACCCCAGCTTATGCATGTCTTTAGCTTTTATTTCCTTTGGTCCCTGGAATCCACATGGGCTCTTCTAGATCCTGTGGGAACTTGATGATCCTAGCTCAGGTTTGTAGTCCTAATCTTACATGTAGGGGCAGAAAACAAGAGTTTAACACTGAGGCATGAGGTGACACTCAACACCATTACTTAGGTGTCTGTGCTGGAGGTGGGTGTCTCAGTTCCCATGCAGTGAAGACATACTCAGTATAGTGAAATCTAGAGAGCTTCTCGGCTTGCCCTGCAGCAGCACCCTGCAGTTGGAGGGTGCTTTTAAACAACTGAATTTCTTTCTGGGTCCCATTAAATGTATTGACCGATGATACGACTCAGCTGATTGAACATATGTGTCTGATGTCATTTGGGTTGCCTGAGGATGTCCTGCCATTCCAAAGGATTTGAGTCTCCAATAGTTTCCACGTCAAATTTGGCAGTCCCATCAATCTTAGGACACCTCAAATGGCATCAGACATCTACATATGGGGAAATGGACTGAGTCCACTGTGCCTTTGGCTTTCACCAGCAATTCTTTTTGTTTTCTTTCTTCCTCCCTCAAGTGTAGTCCAAATTTTATTTAGCAAATAGATAAGAATTGCTTTTGCCTTGTAGTTAAGAATGAGTTAAGCTGAGTTAACTCAGGTCATTGGCTGAGTTAACTCAGGTCATCAGTACCTGACAATGCTGATAAAAGTTCTTCATATTTATTTTTCATCTGTACCACACAAACATGTTCTTTAATGTGTCTAGAAAGTCAGTACTTGATGTCTGAGGTGATACTTGGATCAGACTTAGGCTTTGCTGCTTGCACCAGTCTCTCTGATTAGAAACCTAACAGTGCATGAAAACAGTGCATTTTTGCAAGCAGCTAGTATTTAAGAACATTTTTCCTTTAAAACTCACTATATTTTTCAAAGTAGGCTGTGCATTGATGAGTATTTTTTGAATTAGTGTTTGGGCAAATGAGAGAAAAGATTGAACTCATTCCCTACAACATGGATTTTGCCTGGAAGGGGCCAGATCTTCCACTCTTGTGAAAATGCAGAAAAACGTCCAATTTAAATGTCTTTACATTTGTTTTTTGTAGCTTCCTCAGGTCCTTTGGTAACATATGCCTACAAAATTTGCAAGACAGTAA